TATATTAGTATTTTCATGAAGTATACCAGCTTAGCTAAGTAAATCAAACAATGAATTACAGAATTCCAGACCATTAACGGTTCTGAATATTTTAATTCTCATATCCTGTTGATTTTCAACTAAAGCTTTAAAATCTTTAAAGTAAATTAAGAGCTTCTTTCTTGGTCTTCAAAACTAAACAAATGTCTTGCGTGTGTAATCATCGATGAAAATCAGAAAATACCTGCAGCCATCAGCGATGCGGAAGGTGAACGACATAATAATTTTATTAAAAATAATGAACATGATATACAGACTCCTTCCTTCCGGACCACACACATAGTACATCTTATTCTCAGTAGATGGCTTTGGTGGTTTCGTTTGATGTATTAAAAATAACAACAATTTTATTTTTGTTAAAAATAACAAAAATAATTTAAAAAATTAAAGAGTACAATTTATGAATTCGTTGCCACGGATGTTTCAGTGATTAAATAATATTGATTTTAAAAAGTTGGTAGTAAATAGAATAGGTATTTAATATTCGAGATGTTGAAGTAAATTAACGCTTATATTTTGTCGTTGTGTTTCAGCAAATATTTCAATTGGCGGATCGTGTTTTGAGAAAAACGTTTGGCCAATTCCACCAATCATGACGAAACGGATGTTACAATATAAACGAGAGTTTTTAGGATTAGGTATTATTGAAATAAAAGATCGCTCTGGTGTTCCGCGTCCACAATACGTGGTCTGGTTGCAACTTCTTTCAAATGAATCACTGAAACCCAACAAATTAAACAGACATCTTGAGAAAGTCCATCCAACTTATGTAAATAAACCACTTGCCTTTTGGAAAGAAAAAGAAACACAAGCGAAGTGTATGAAACTTGAAGCACCATCAAGTTCGGCTATAATTTAGTAGCTTTAATAGTTGCTCAATGTAAAAAACCCCATAGCATTGCTGAAGAGTTGATTAAATTAGCCGCGATAGCCATGGCGATAATTGTCTGTGGAGATGAAATAGCTAAGTAGCTGGAAATGGTGCCAATTTCAAACAATACCGTAAACAAGAGAATAGATTTAATGTCATTAGATATTTTAGAACAGTTAATAACAGATCTTAAAACAGTAATTAAATTTTCTATTCAAATCGACGAATCAGTAGATATTTAAGACTTTCCACAGTTGTTAGTGTGTGTAAGATACAGAACTCCTCAAAATTTTAATGATGAATTTCTTTTTTGTGAAAAGCTCTCTGTAACTTCAATTGGAGCAGACATCTTTTTTCTAGTTGACAACTTTTTTGAGGCTCACCAATTGCAGTGGCGAAATTGTGTCGCAGTTTGTACGGATGATGCTCCAGCAATGATAGGAACTCGCATAGGCTGTTGTGCCAAGGTCAAGGAAAGAAATCCAGAGGTTGTTACAATACACTGATGATTTACATAGAGAACTTGGCTACACGGGATATGCAGCCAGATCTACACCGGGTATTACAGAACATAATCAAAATTATAAACTTCATAAAGGGACACGCTTTAAACTCCCGGATATTTCGTTTGATGTGCGAAGAAATGGGTTCAGCTCACCAGCTTTTATTGTACCATTCAGATATCAGATGGTTATCCCGCGGAAGAATTTTAGCTAGAATTATTTCTCTAAAAACAGAAATAGAAACATTTTTAACTAATTAAAAACATGAATGTGCTGATCTTTTCACTGACAATAAGTGGATAGCCAAATTGGCATATTTGAGCGATGTCTTCACCACTTAAATCAGTTAAACACGGAAATGCAAGGTCAAAACCGCACCGTAGTAGACATATATGAAAAAAATACTGTTAAAAATAAAATAAAACTTTGGCAAGAAATAATTGCAAATCGTCAATTAGTAGCGTTTGCCACATTAAATCTGTTTTGAGAAGATCTTAATGACAACAATATTTTTGTAGAGACCATGCCTATCTTTTTAGAACATTCGAGACATCTTGAAAATGAAATGGCGAGATATATTCAACAAAATGTTCATATCGAGAAATACAGTTGGGTAAGAAATCCATTTGAAGTAGATGTAATTGCGGTTTAAAATCATTCGGCTGGAATTAAAGAAGAATTGCTTGAATTGCTGGGTGATAGAGTTTTGAAAGAAAGATTTGCCACAATGAGTCTCACAAAATTTGGGGCAGAATTATCTGGGAAGTCTATTTTCAGGAATGAAGCTGAAAAAGCTCTGCTACCATTTCCAAGTACATTCCTGTGTGAAGCAGGATTTTCATGACTTGCTGTTTTAAAAACCAAATATAGAAATAGACTGGATCCTTAGCATGACATGCGATGCGCACTTACAATAAATTTAACTCCGCGTATAAATCGCCTTTGTTTGAAAGTACAGCATCAGGGTAGTCACAAATACAATTGAAGATGATAACCCTCAGGATATAGGTAAGTTATTTCATGTTTCACTCTGTTGCTTTTATTGTCAACAGGGTAATACACACACATTAGGGTGGGCCAAAAAATTAGAAAATTAGTTGTCATTTAGTGCTAGTATAATGTGTATAAAATATTATTGTAATCGGTGTAGCGGAACTGTCTCCGAAACAGGTTCAAAGTTTTGATATTTTTTAAATTGAGCTGATGATCAGACGTCGTGAAGATCAGAATATACCTTTTATAATCATAATATCAGCCTTTTTATACGATATTAATGTCTTCTATTAAAATGATACCGAAAACGTAAATACTCGGTGGAACAGAACGACCGACACTCCCGAGGTTCCTAGAGAGTACTATTTGTCTTTAATATGATATATAAAAAATTTTAAGTCTAGGTCAAATAGTTTCGGAAATATTAAAATACAAAGTTTTTGAAAAAAAATGAGTGTTTTCAACCCCGAGTTAGCTGTTTTTGGGACGTACTAAGGAAAAGTTTTTAATCGGTCATTGACTTCTTCATTTCTAAACTAAATAAACTAATTTGTGATTTATAAGACTGCTTGCATGCAAATTCTACCAGACAATCAATAAACAAGGCAGTCAAAATGCTTAAATCGATTTACAGACTAACAGCCGGTTTCTGATTTGAAAAAAGTAGAAAATTTCTACTGCTCATTCTCAATAACCTAAGTTTTTTTAATTTCACAAGTCAAATAGTCCTAGTTTTATCAAACTGCTATCAACTAAAATCGGAATCGATAACTAAGTGCTGTTAGTTTGAGACGTTTAACTTTAAATACTTAATTAAGATACCGAGTGTAAAATTTTCTAAATTATTGAAGAGAGATCAGTCTATCATTAACCTACGTTATATTAAACGAGCAGTTCTCAAAAAAAAAAATGTTTGAATGGGGTAATACTCCTTTAACAATGGGATCGTTAATAAAACTCGATAAACTCACAAATCTTCCAGCGATTCATCATTAACACAAATGAACTTCGTTTTCAAAACATTCAAAACATTGAGGAATTTGTTATTAAAATAGCATTTAAAAAGAACATTAAAAAATGCATGATATCAAAAGACGAATAAAAAAAATGTGATCCGAGTTCGTCCCTCGATATCAAAGCACCACCCGCCCGCCAGCCGCCAGACGGCTTCATTATTCTGTCGCTATTTTCCGGCCAATCAGTCGCCGCCGACCTTTTGCGCTGGAGTGTTGTTGCGCATCGCCGCCGACGCACTGCTGCGAAGCGTCTTTTTTGTCCATTTTTGTTTTGTTCTAGTGCATTATTAATTGAATTTTTGTTAATAAGATACTAGAGTGTTCGTCTTGAGTGTGAAGTTTAGTTTAGTGAAGATTGTGTTTAGTTTTGTGTGAAATGTGATGTTTTGCGCGTGCATGCACCGGCATTGAAAAGTCCGTGCTTAGCTCTGACTTCAGAGAGGAAGTGGACATTTTCAGCATCGACTATCATTAAGATATCGGTAAATAATTAAATTAATGTATTTCGCGGTTCGTTGTAATCTACACACAACCGATATTACGCATGCGCGTTATAGGGCTGTCTATACTTAGAAATTTAAAATTTTTACTCCATCTTTACACCTCCTCTATTTTTAAATATTTGTCAAATAAAATGAACGTTTGCATGTAACCGAACTTGAAACTTTCGTCTGTGTCAGTCATTTTGTTCCTCCCAGTATATGTGGATACTTCACTTCACCAGCCCTTTTACGTCCCCACTGCAAGGGCTCAGGCCTTCCTTATGGATGGTTAAGGAGGATGGGCCATGACCCTCCACGCTGGCCCAATGCAGATTGGAGGGTATTAACGACTGCAAATGCAGCCGGGACCAACGGCTTAACGTGCCTTCCGAAGCACGGAGTAGCTCGAGATAATAATTTTTTGGTCACCCATCCCGTGACCGACCCTTGCGAAAGTTGCTTAACGACTACGATCGCGGGCCGCGGTGCTTATCCACTACGCCACCGTATATGTGGATACTTACTCATCAAACTTTTGTTTACGTTTGAATAAAGTTATACTGCCAAGTGATTCGTTTAGTATTTAGTTGCGTTGTGTTTGATTGTAGCGAAAGTGTGTTTCTGTGATTTTGAAAATGAATCGTACTCGAATACTCAAAAAGCTTTCAAATGTCTTATATTTGGTATTAAGTGTTACGGACGGACAAGAATTTTCAAGAAGTTGCCGATATTGTGACTGAAAAATAGAAAATTTATGGAGAAAAGCATCACTAGCTATTTTATCCCATATAAGAGTTCAAAAAATACTTAAAGCTTATCATCTAAAATTCAAAAATATTTTGTGATCTCATCCCAGGATACCTAAAAAACGTTTAGAAGAGTTTCTTGCTTCTAGTAAAATATTGTTTGATATTCCTTCATGCAAGTGCTAATGTTTCACAAAATGCACTTGCCCTAAAGAAAAAAAAGTTCCATGTAGTGACCAAAGTTTCCTTACTGACCAAAGATATGAAAGAAATATGATAATGGAAAATACAGATGTTACAACAACAAAAAAAAAATTAAAAAACGTCTGTAAAGAAAGATAAAAAACGCAATGTCCAAGAAAATTTTCATGGCTCCCATTACCGCAGCCACAGCCACCACTTCTGATGAAAAAAATAGTAGCTCATCATCTTCTGTACGCGAAACATCGAGCCAAAGTGATGATTTTCAAGCAACAAAAGTAAGAAAATTGAAGGTGGAAACTGCTGTCGCTATGAACTATTCCACACTATCTCAAACTTGCGATAGATACGGTATCGATAGGGTATCAGACAGAGTAGCCGCAGCTATAGCTTCTGTTGTTCTACATGAAAACAATATGCCTATTATTTATAAAAATAAATTGAGAAAAGTAGAAACAACATACTTGAGAAACAGAATCTTCGTCTAATACCTGCACTTTAGTTCGACGGTAGAAAAGATAAAACATTAATTACTAAGAAAAAAGGTGGAAAGTTCTATAAGGAAATCATAATTGAGGAGCACATTTCACTAATTAAAGAACCCGATAGTATATATTTATGCTATATCACTCCCACAGCTGGAACTGCCAAATTTATAGAAAAATAAATCCATGAATTTCTCTTGACTCAAAAAGTATTTATAGATCAATTGATGGCTATTGGATGTGATGGTACCAATGTTAATGTTGGAAAATTCGGTGGTATTATTAGAATATTAGAGAAAAGATTAAAGAGACCTATGCAGTGGTTGCATATAAATTAACTACCGTTTCGGCATTTATTTTCATACGTTGATGGTTCCACTTCCGGTCCAAGAACTTTTGTAGGTAAAATCAGTAAATCTTTTGAAAGTTGTGAAAAAAAAACTATTGTCAAAGGACAATGGGCGTTCTGTCCCATTAGCAGCCAGTAATGAAAGTGGTATCAATCGAAAGGGGGGCTAATAAAGAACGGCTTTGGTTAAGAAAGTACACCTTTATTCCATTTGAGAAAAAAGGTACTTACATCCTAGTGCTTATATATTCATATTTTGAACATATCCTTACATACATATCCTAAAATAATAATTACCTTAATTACTAAACATTGTTACTTAGAACTTGTATCTACCTGTTTAGAAAATCATGCGCACGCCGCTTGCATGTGGGGTTTAACCAGGTAGAAACAACTAACCAATCAGCGACGAGTGCACTTAACGCCGGCGGCCCTGACCAATCAGCGACGAGCTCATGATATGTGGTCAGGTGATGAAAGCCTGCGACCGTTGCAGTCCTACGTTTAAGCTTGTTTCGTTGTGTACTGTGCGATTTACGTACCCAGTTTTCAAATCTAATTCGACTCTAGCTTGCCTACCGGACTTGTTTCATCTCACTTTGTTGACCTGTGCTTGTTTCTGGATTTTGTAAGCTTTGTGAATTGGATTTTGTGAACCATGGCAGATAATCATCGTCTATGTGTTTTGTGCAATCGCTCTGTTATAAACAGAAGAAGATTTGAAATAACACATGCTCTGTTTGAAGCGAACCCTTCGATAGCCCAATATATTATTGAGGCTATGGCTCCTGAACACCAGGTTAGTATTACAAAATGAATAAACACATGTGTTTGTCCTGGGTGGGAACCGAACCTGCGACCCCTGGCGCAAATAATAATAATAATATCGAACCTGGGACCTCTGAGAAAGCGTCACCTTGAAAACCGATATGTACGCCTCTCGGCTACGGAGGTCGGCAAAGGACAGAGTCGCTACCAAATGCGTCATCGAACCGGTCATATTGTTTTTTACGAGTCGCCATATCGAAGCTTGTGCCTATGGCAATGCTCTAAAAGTGGATTTTTTCCAGCTGCAGTTCAACGAGCAAGAATTCATCTGTCGGCCATGCTGGCAACGAGCAGAAAGGGCTACTCAGCATTATCAACGGCCGCACGAATGTGCATTACAAATAGAAGAATATTCGAGGGTCCCAATACGGCTACATGTTGTTTGTTTGAGTACTGCCGCAGATTCGACGAGTACTGCGTCGAATCAATAATGTCAAAATAACCTGATACATTTTAATTTCTACATACCCGATAGCGCAAGGGTATGCGCTCATCATATAGAGTCCAATGACTGGGACCAAGTAATTGACAGTCCGAACTTGCTCCACGATTTTAATGCTACCCATTTTGTGCACATGATGAACTTGATGAAGACTGCAACGCTTCGAGGATCAATAATAGACTTTGATCGGATAGAAGAAATGCACGACAATGAAGTATATATTAGAACTGGTATTAGTCGTGAACAATTTATGGAGATACTACAACTAACGCCTTCATTGTCAAATGAATCAACTCGTCCAAAGTTAGCGTTGGCTGGTTTTCTAATGAAGCTACGAAGCGGTGAAACAAACGAACGACTGGCGGCTCTTTTTTAATGTGAGTCGATGAACCTTTGAAAGGCACCTCAATGCAGCTCGAGAGTGCCTGTACTCAGAATTTGTACCCCGACATTTGGGCTACAATCACATAAGTAGGAGAGAGGTAGCTCAACGGAACCTCTTAGTTCCTAACAGTATCTTCGGCAGCCCTGGATCAGAAGAAAGAAAACCAGTGGTGATATGTGACGCTACGTATATTTATATTCAAAAATCTTCTAATTATTTATTCCAAAGACAATCATACAGTCTACATAAATTCACCAACTTGTTGAAGCCATTTATTATGGTTTGCTGCGATGGACATATCATAGATGTATTTGGACCCTATGCAGCCACTGAGTCGGATGCAACCATCATGAAAAATATGATAGAAAAGGTAGACGATGGTTTCCACTGGTTCTTCGAACAGGGAGATGTATTCGTCTTAGATCGAGGATTCCGTGATGTCATAGACGATCTCGAAGCTTACGGCTATGAGGCTCATATGCCAAAAACAAAAAACAGGAATGAGGACCCATTAACAACCGAACAAGCTAATAAAACTAGGTTGGTTACTATATGTCGGTGGGTCGTGGAAGTTATTAACGGTTGGTTCAAACGTGATTTCAAACTGTTCAGACAAGATTTTTTTAACAGAGCACTGCTGCATATGATGAAAGATTTTAAAATAGCAGCTGCGCTACTCAATGCATACCGGGTATTACAGATAACCAATGCCTATGAAATCCAAACAGATTCATTTTTTGCAGACATTAACAATGTTAGTGAAGATGTATTTCTTTTAGCACAATCCGACGAGGCACCGACGAAGACGTTACAAGAGACACAGAATTTGACAACCAAAACAACAAACGATTTTTCAGCCAAATTACAATCTGTACATTTTTTAAAAATGTCATGAGGAATTCAAAAAAGACAGACTCGCGACAATCAGCAACCAAAAAAAGACCAAAAAATATCAAGAAAAAAGCAAAAAATACTGAAGAACCAGAAAAAAGTTATGAAAATGTCCCAATACGCGATGCTATGGATGATAATGAAGAAAAAAGTGGCGATGCTGTCGATGACGAAGAAGAAGAAAGCTTGCTTTGACTTGACTCTTAATTTTTAGTTACATAATGGCGTCAATTCTGGCACATATTTCTAGAGCTGTCACTTTCCCTCTTTTGTAAACAAAAAAGACAGATGACTTAATTTTACTGAATGAAGCACAGTAAAGAATCCATGACTTAATTTTAATTTAGTTCTGTCAAATTAAGCGTTTTAAGATGTCATTTAAATTTATAACCTAACACAAGTAATCTGTGCTGATTCCTAGGCAAACACGGTTTTGACAGCGTAGAATAAAATTTAAATCGTCTGTCTCTATTATTATTAAAAGAAGGAAAGTGACAGCTCTAATCTTAAAAAGTTCAGGAGTATTTGCCAGAATTATTGCCAATTTGTTTTTATTTTTGTACGTCTTCAAATATTTTTGGTATGGAACACTCTATTATTCGTTAGTAATTAATAGTAATTATTATTATTTCTATATTCTATACGTTGTTATTCAGAATTTTATTCCAAACATAGCCATGTAATGAGCCAACGCACATAGAGGGTTTCCGGAAAGTCATGGATATATATTTTTTTTGTATTGTTTTATTTTTTATTGGTAGACCCTAATGTGGGCAGTTGATATGTAAAAGGTTATAATACATGACTTTCCGGACACTCTGTATAGTTCTCAGCTTAAATAAGTTTTAAAAATTTTTACTCATGTCTATAATTATATTACTTAAAACTGTTTGCTGAAATGATCTAAATGATCTAGCAAAAATTACAGTTTGACAGTTAGCAGCTGTGTAACTCTTGTCCTTTTTAATTTGTTTTTAATTGATATTTTATATTTTTCAATTTAGTTTAGCTATGATACTGCCAGAAGCAGGGCAGTTGATAAACGAATAAATGTTGTTGATTATTGATATCTAATTGAACTTTTTTAAGTGAGATAAAAATAGAGATCTAACGATGAGGCTACTTAAAAAAAATTAATCCACAAATATTTTCACATAACATTTTAATTTATCCAATGATTCTAAGAATCATACAAATCGTAGCAAATGATTAGGCTAATTAGCTTTAAAGTATCTCGTTACATTTAAGTATAATTTGTGAAAACAGTACAAACTAGGGTTGATTGTGCCATAAGAAATAAGTTAAGGTTATAAAAAATTTTATAACAAATCATGTTATCTACTGATTAAAGAAATTTTCAACTATCACGATAAACGATTCGGTCGTATTCGGATCATTGGTTTTTTCTTCAGTTACTTTGAAAAAATGGCTAGCAAGTGCGAGTTTTTTGTTTGTGGTAACTATAGTGTTACTGTTTAAAGCTTAATATTAATGTTAAAATCATAAAGACTGATTAAAGAATAAAACGCTTATAATTATTACAACTAATTAACAACACAACAGTTCTCAGTTATAGTGTATATAGTAAAGGCGCGAAGAAAATATCAGATTGGTAATTTATAGCTACAAGTTTGGCTTTAATATCTTCTATTTTAAAAATAGCTTCTTCATGTTTAGTTATGTTGGCTAATGAGCATTTGAATATACTTAACAAAGACGATTTTATGGGAATTTCAAAAACATTTTCCAAATGTTTAATGCAGTTTCCTCGTAGAAGCATTTCTTTTTGATCATAAGTATAGATAGTTATTATTTCAACAATATGATTATCAGAATTCAAGAACCATTTATTCTCCGGTTGTGATGATAGCATAAAACTTTCTCAATATAAAACTGTAACATGTCTACTAGTTTTTAGAAATGGATATTCTATTCGCCTGTTATTTATTATTTCTAATTCGATAATACTTCGTTTACTCAATCGTTTAGCAATCTGAGCAAGAGGTTTGTTTCCATTTCTCATCAAGTTTTTTAAAAATTGCAATTTATTTTCAAGTGGATAAGCCTAGAAACTTTGAAGTATTCCAAAGCGTCTTACCTCTTCGAAAATATGAGATAGATTGTGAATATTACTAGTAATATATTGTTCCCCGTAATAATCTCTAAAATGCTCAATGAAAAAATTCATAAGACTTTCACCGAGAGATAAGAAACAAAAATATTTTTCATTGGAACATATTGTAATCGCAACAAAGAAGGTCAGAAAATGCTGATAAGCATCTATGCACAATGCATCTTTTAAAATTACAAAACTTATGTAATATAAAAAGGTTCGAAATTCAGATCCTTTCCAGTAAGATAAGACGTCCAAACCTCTCATTGACCGGTGTATTTCTTTTGGAAGTTTACAGTTTAATAAAAATAATGACACGTTTTGAATTTCACGAGCACTCCATTTTGTAACAAAAGCTCCAAAATTGCCATCTCGCCACCCATGTAAGAGTCGTTTCATTACTCCAAGATCGATCAGGTGTAACGAATCACTGACAGGAAACATATTTATCATGTCAATAGATAATTTCAGTAGTGGTGTGTCAGTCTTGTGATGTAGGCCATATTTTTTTGCACGGAAGTCGTCGTTATTTCTTCTGGGATAATAATATGTAGGGAATATTACGGTATGCGATAAGTGCGAATATTCCCCTACAACTGTGCATTTTAGGCATCCATGTTTGCCGTTAAAGTTGCACACTCCTGCAATTGAATAAATTATATATTATGATTATATTATAGCAAAACAAACAAACAAACGTAATTGTGATTAGTTATTGCCTATTCTGTCCAGTTACGTCTTTTAGAACCCCGTTTCATTCAGTTTCGTTCTATTTTCCCTCCACTAATATCAACGTTCATGTCTGTTTTCCAGCCCGTCAACTACCATTCCGTTTTCCATCACCTACTTTATTCAAATCCGTTGAGCTGTAACGGATTTTACTATCTGTGGCCGAGTTCTGGATAATAAAATATAATTTGAACTATTAACTCAAAGAAAAATATTAAGTTTGAACAAGTAACAAAATCCCAAACAAGCGAACATCCTTCAAATTTTCGTATGATCAGTAGGATTGACTTTATTAGTGTTGTAAATTAAAGTGTTAAAGTTATACCACCCACCTTTTAACAAAGCTCTTGCCGGTGAATCGCAAATAAATGCTCCGATTTTTACACCAATAAGAATTTCAGATTTTTCTTGTGTATTTACTAATAATTTTTAAAAAAAAGGTAATGGTAACTGTTTTGTGGTCTCAGCATGGTGTTATTTACTATAGTTTTCTCCGATCTGGTCAAGCAATAACGGCAGATGTCTTATGCACTTGTACGAAAACATGACTGATAAAAATTTATAATACTCGTGTTAAAATATGAGTGTTTATTTGATATAACGAAGCCATTATATAGCGACCGGGTAATGACAGACCATGCATGGGAGGAAATTAGCAAATGTGTCGGAATAAGTGGTAAGTACTAAGATTTTATTGTTTTACACCTACCTCCAGATACTCAAACGGATTTTAAAGATAGGGCTTCGCATGCTGCAACTTGTTGTCAAAAGTCCCATTCGTGTTGTCCCATTCGTGTTGGCCTGACACCTTTGACGAAAATACTTTTATTGCACCATTGGAATTAGTTAATTTTTCAACCTCAAACCATCTGGATCCCTTAGCGCTACGATGAATAGAAACGATTTTAGAATTTTCGGTTCCGGCCTTCAATCTTAGATTATACGATACGATATCTTTTCGTGTCATTTTGAATTACGCTAATTTGCCGCTTAAAAATAATGATGAAATAGAGGTAACGCCTATTAAATAGAAATATTATTTTACATAAAGCACGGGTTACGCCGTTTTCGCTGCTCGAAATTTTAACGCTCATGTCAATTAACTCTATTCAAGGTCTACCTTTTTTAGGTGATGCTAATTACATTCTTTTATATTTATTATTATGGTTCATTAATGTTAGTGAATGTGTTTGTTACATCTTTTTGTAATGATATTTTAAATAAAAATGGCGTTGTTTACTACATTCGAAAAGTCCATATATAAAATAGATGATACAGATACCGCCCTTTATCGGTACCGCCGCCGCCAGCTGACAGGCATATACGCCGTTACTCGGCGCTCAGTCTGTGCTCATTTCAAAAACCACTTAAGTCACATTTTTTCCAACATGCGTTTTTTTGCTGAAAATGCTTCCTCAAAGGTAGATGCGTATTCTGGGTGAAAACAGCTTAAGTCAATACATTCCTTCCTCTTTTAATAATACCGCGTGAAAGACGTTCATTGCTTAAACAACATTAGTCAATGACTTAAGAGGTTTTTGCATGCATCACTAGATGGCAGGAGTAGTTTATGACTGAGATTGACATTTTAAAATTGCTTTGTTTTGATTGGTTCAACAATATTAAAATTTTTGTAAACCATCGCCATTATTGTCATTTGAACTTTACTTGTCTTTTACTATTTTAAGAGAAAAGTAATTTTTGCTTTAAAAAATGTCTTCAAGTGAAACTGAGAGTGATGGTGAGCCGAAAAAGAAGAGAACGTGTAATCCTACAAAATATAAAAGGAATGTTATAAAAAATTCTAAAGTTAAAGGTCAGGCACATACTAATTATCGAGGAAAACAAATAGCTCCAAGATCTACTGGTGAAAATTGCAGGCAAGTTTACCATAAACCTTTATTCAGTTTACGTTTTTTTATATAAACCTAATATATCGCTTAATTATTGCAGATGTAAGAAGGAATGTTTTGCGAATTTCAATCAAGATGACATGGACTTTTGCATTTCAAAAATGAACTGTTTTTCAACCAAAAATGAGCAGGATATATTTCTTCAAACACTTATTGATAAGTCAGATAAAAAACAGAGGCGTCCTCGAAAAGAAAATGTTACACAGAGGCAAAATGCCTTTCAATTATATGTTTTAAAACAAACTGATAAAGTTAAAGTCTGCAAGAAAGCATTTATCAGCCTGTATGGAATTACAGAAGCCAGAGTTCGCAGACTTTGTGATTTGCTTAATGAAGGGAAGAGTCCAATAGATAAGAGAGGATGCCACCCGAAAGCAAATACAGTGCCTCCTGAAATATGCCAAAAAATACACGAACACATCCTCTGCTTTCCTAGGAAAAAGACACATTATGCAGGAAAAGACATAGATTATCTTGATGCACGATTGGATGTCAAAAAAATGCATTCAATGTTTAATGAATAATATCCAGATCTCGATGTAAAGTACAAATTTTACTTGAAATACTTTAATGAAAACTTTTCCCTCAGATTTGGTCGACCACAAGTCGACACATGTATAACTTGCGAAGAACTATCAACAAAAATAAAACAATCCAACTTATCAGAAAATGCAAAACGTTCAGTAGTAGCTCAGTTTCATCAGTTCAAGATCTTTGTAAAGAACGAGATGATGTTGCAGCGATAACATTCGATTTTATGCAAAATCTACCATTGCCACACATACCTATACAAAACATTTTTTATTTACGGCAATTATGGGTTCACTGTTTTGGTATTAAGGATTTAAAAACAGGCAAATCGACATTTTACATGTATCATGAAGGTATTGCTAACAAAGGAGCCAATGAGGTTTGTTCAATGTTGATGCATTATATAAAAAATAATATTGGGCCAAATATTAAGTATTTATATCTTTTTTCCGATGGCTGCCCCGGTCAAAATAAAAATAATACAATGTTGAGATTTATGTTGGCCTTGACTGACTCTAAAAGATTTGAAAAAGTTTATCAGTATTTTCCCACACGAGGTCACTCCTTTTTACCAAATGATCGTGATTTTGGAGTCATAAAAAAAAATGTTCGAAAGCATGATCGTATTTACGTCCCAGGAGAATACATTGATTTGATTTCGAACTCCAGCTCAACATTTACAGTCGTAGAACTAAAAACTGAAGATGTTTTAGAATTTAAGAAATGGTGGCCAAATTTGTACAAAAAAACATGTTTGTCAACTGAATCTTATGGAAAAAAAGTCCCAAAGGACCAGAAAAAGTCATTTGCTCCTTCGACATACATGAGTTTTCAGTATGATTCAGATAGAAAAGGAACTATCATAGCCGAGGAATATATTGATGGATTGATCAAACATTCGTTCTCATTAATAAAGAAAATAACAACTTCTATTTCACTTCCATCAACTAAAGCCTATGATTTGAAAGTGCCCATCAATAAAAAAAAAAATAGATGATTTAAAACAAGTTGAAGATAGCATTCTGGAAGAGCATATGCCATTTTATAACAACATTTTTAGCTGGCCAACTGTAATAATTGTTGAAAATAATCCAGATGAGAATGATGGAGAATATGACTATGTACCATAAAAATATTAAAAAATAACAAGTTAATGTATCTAAAATGTTAATAAGATTATTTTGAAGTGCAATTCTTAATTATAAGCAATAAAAAATATGATTACTACGATTGTTTTGTTTAAATTATATGCCACTAAACCTATTCCTTGCTAAAACAACATAAGTTTTTAACTGTTTTTTCAGATTTTTTTCATTATTTCTATTAATAAACTGTAAAGATTATACGCTATTTTAATTTCTTATCACTCAAATACTAAACTAAACATTAAAAAGCCCTTTAAAACTCGAATAAAAAGCTATGTCAATTAAACAACATATTTAACAAAATACACAACAGAATGGCGACGAGATAAAGAAAAATATTGATTGCAGTGAATTATCATCACATTCGCTTAACCTAAAGCATCAAAAAAATATAATACTTCAATAAATAAGCTTCAATAAGGTAAGAAGAACCTAAATTATATACAAAATGGCGTCACTCGATGCCATACAAGTTCAAAATCAAGCGATTATTCAAGCTTTACAAATGCAAAGCCAGGCATTGACAAAATTATTACAAAGCTTTCCGGATAGAAATGAAGAAGTAAAGAATGATTTACGTATTATAAACTTTGAAACGTACGACGAAAACAAAGAAAGTTTTAAATCCTATAGAGAACGACTCGAAAATTACATGGATATAAAAAATTTGCAGGGTGATTCTGTTGATATTCAAAGAACAAAAGCAAAAATTTTAATAAACGCATTAGGTGCTAAATACTACCAATTGCTATCGAGCTTGACAGCTCCAGATTTACCGTC